AGAAATCTCTAAAATATTGTTTAAAAAGTGTTTTTTCTGTATATGTCGAGAATTGACAGAAATAACGTAAAAAATTTTTTAAAATGGCCTAAAAATTTGCCTTGAGTTAAAATGAAAAAAACTGCATTTTCTTCAAAGTTTTAGTGAATTTGCCAAACTTAGCAATACCAAACAGCTTGTAGCAAGAATTTCAGAGGTAAGAAAACCGTATTCAGCTGGTATCTCTTATAAAATTGAAAAAAAGTGAAAATTTTTCAAAACCACCCTTAAAATTGGCCTAAAATATTTTGATCAAAAAGAGTCAATTTCTTCAAAACAAAAAGGATTTGTGTGACAAAGGTATTACCAAAACGTCTAGAAATCTCTAAAATATTGTTTAAATAGTGTTTTTTCTGTATATGTCGAGAATTCACAGAAAAAACGTAAAAAAAATTTAAAATTGCCTAAAAATTTGCCTTGAGTGAAAATGAAAAAAACTGCGTTTTCTTCAAAGTTTTAGTGAATTTGCCAAACTTAGCAATACCAAACAGCTTGTAACAAGAATTTCAGAGGTAAGAAAACCGTATTCAGCTGGTATCTCTTATAAAATTGAGAAAAAGTGAAAATTTTTCAAAACAACCCTTAAAATTGGCCTAAAATATTTTGATCAAAAAAAGTCAATTTCTTCAAAACAAAAAGGATTTGTGTGACAAAGGTATTACCAAAACGTCTAGAAATCTGTAAAATATTGTTTAAAAAGTGTTTTTTCTGTATATGTCGAGAATTGACAGAAAAAACGTAAAAAATTTTTAAAATGGCCTAAAAATTTGCCTTGAGTTAAAATGAAAAAAACTGCGTTTTCTTCAAAGTTTTAGTGAATTTGCCAAACTTAGCAATACCAAACAGCTTGTAACAAGAATTTTAGAAGTAAGAAAACCGTATTCAGCTGGTATCTCTTAAAAAATTGAAAAAAAGTGAAAATTTTTCAAAACCACCCTTAAAATTGGCCTAAAATATTTTGATCAAAAAAAGTCAATTTCTTCAAAACAAAAAGGGTTTGTGTGACAAAGATATTACCAAAACTTCTAGAAATCTCTAATTTATTGTTTAAAAAGTGTTTTCTCTGTATATGTCGAGAATTGACAGAAAAAACGTAAAAAAATTTTAAAATGGCCTAAAAATTTGCCTTGAGTGAAAATGAAAAAAACTGCGTTTTCTTCAAAGTTTTAGTGAATTTGCCAAATTTAGCAATACCAAACAGCTTGTAACAAGAATTTCAGAGGTAAGAAAACCGTATTCAGCTGGTATCTCTTATAAAATTGAAAAAAAGTGAAAATTTTTCAAAACCACCCTTAAAATTGGCCTAAAATATTTTGATCAAAAAATGTCAATTTCTTCAAAACAAAAAGGATTTGTGTGACAAAGGTATTACCAAAACGTCTAGAAATCTCTAAAATATTGTTTAAAAAGTGTTTTTTCTGTATATGTCGAGAATTGACAGAAAAAACGTAAAAAAATTTTTAAAATGGCCTAAAAATTTGCCTTGAGTTAAAATGAAAAAAACTGCGTTTTCTTCAAAGTTTTAGTGAATTTGCCAAACTTAGCAATACAAACAGCTTGTAACAAGAATTTCAGAGTTAAGAAAACCGTATTCAGCTGGTATCTCTTAAAAAATTGAAAAAAAGTGAAAATTTTTCAAAACCACCTTTAAAATTGGCCTAAAATATTTTGATCAAAAAAAGTCAATTTCTTCAAAACAAAAAGGATTTGTGTGACAAAGGTATTACCAAAACGTCTAGAAATCTCTAAAATACTGTTTAAAAAGTGTTTTTTCTGTAAATGTCGAGAATTGACGGAAAAAACGTAAAAAAATTTTAAAATGGCCTAAAAATTTGCCTTGAGTGAAAATCAAAAAAACTGCGTTTTCTTCAAAGTTTTAGTGAATTTGCCAAACTTAGCAATACCAAACAGCTTGTAGCAAGAATTTCAGAGGTAAGAAAAACGTATCCAGCCTGTATCTCTTTTAAAATTGAAAAAAAATTGAAAATTTTTCAAAACCACCCTTAAAATTGGCCTAAAATATTTTGATCAAAAAAACTCAATTTCTTCAAAACAAAAAGGATTTGTGTGACGAAGGTATTACCAAAACGTCTAGAAATCTCTAATATATTGTTTAAAAAGTGTTTTTTCCGTATATGTCGAGAATTGACAGAAAAAACTGAAAAAAAATTTAAAATGGCCTAAAAATTTGCCTTGAGTGAAAATGAAAAAAACTGCGTTTTCTTCTAAGTTTTAGTGAATTTGCCAAACTTAGCAATACCAAACAGCTTGTAGCAAGAATTTCAGAGGTAAGAAAAACGTATCCAGCCTGTATCTCTTTTAAAATTGAAAAAAATTGAAAATTTTTCGAAACCCCACTTAAAATTGGCCTAAAATATTTTGATCAAAAAAAGTCAATTTCTTCAAAACAAAAAGGGTTTGTGTGACAAAGATATTACCAAAACTTCTAGAAATCTCTAATTTATTGTTTAAAAAGTGTTTTTTTTGTATATGTCGAGAATTGACAGAAAAAACGTAAAAAATTTTAAAATGGCCTAAAAATTTGCCTTGAGTGAAAATGAAAAAAACTGCGTTTTCTTCAAAGTTTTAGTGAATTTGCCAAACTTAGCAATACCAACCAGCTTGTAACAAGAATTTCAGAGGTAAGAAAACCGTATTCAGCTGGTATCTCTTATAAAATTGAAAAAAAGTGAAAAATTTTCAAAACCACCCTTAAAATTGGCCAAAAATATTTTGATCAAAAAAAGTCAATTTCTTCAAAACAAAAAGGATTTGTGTGACAAAGGTGTTACCAAAACGTCTAGAAATCTCTAAAATATTGTTTAAAAAGTATTTTTTCTGTATATGTCGAGAATTGACAGAAAAAACGTAAAAAATTTTTAAAATGGCCTAAAAATTTGCCTTGAGTAAAAATGAAAAAAACTGCGTTTTCTTCAAAGTTTTAGTGAATTTGCCAAACTTAGCAATACCAAACAGCTTGTAACATATATTTCAGAGGTAAGAAAACCGTATTCAGCTGGTATCTCTTATAAAATTGAAAAAAAGTGAAAATTTTTCAAAACCACCCTTAAAATTGGCCTAAAATATTTTGATCAAAAAAAGTCAATTTCTTCAAAACAAAAAGGAATTGTGTGACAAAGGTATTACCAAAACGTCTAGAAATCTCTAATATATTGTTTAAAAAGTGTTTTTTCTGTATATGTCGAGAATTGACAGAAAAAACGTAAAAAATTTTTAAAATGGCCTAAAAATTTGCCTTGAGTTAAAATGAAAAAAACTGCGTTTTCTTCAAAGTTTTAGTGAATTTGCCAAACTTAGCAATACCAAACAGCTTGTAACAAGAATTTCAGAGGTAAGAAAAACGTATTCAGCTGGTATCTCTTATAAAATTGAAAAAAAGTGAAAATTTTTCAAAACCACCCTTAAAATTGGCCTAAAATATTTTGATCAAAAAAAGTCAATTTCTTCAAAACAAAAAGGATTTGTGTGACAAAGGTATTACCAAAACGTCTAGAAATCTCTAAAATACTGTTTAAAAAGTGTTTTTTCTGTATATGTCGAGAATTGACAGAAAAAACGTAAAAAAATTTTAAAATGGCCTAAAAATTTGCCTTGAGTGAAAATGAAAAAAACTGCGGTTTCTTCAAAGTTTTAGTGAATTTGCCAAACTTAGCAATACCAAACAGCTTGTAACAAGAATTTCAGAGGTAAGAAAACCGTATTCAGCTGGTATCTCTTATAAAATTGAAAAAAAGTGAAAATTTTTCAAAACCAACCTTAAAATTGGCCTAAAATATTTTGATCAAAAAAAGTCAATTTCTTCAAAACAAAAAGGATTTGTGTGACAAAGGTATTACCAAAACGTCTAGAAATCTCTAAAATACTGTTTAAAAAGTGTTTTTTCTGTATATGTCGAGAATTGACAGAAAAAACGTAAAAAATTTTTAAAATGGCCTAAAAATTTGCCTTGAGTGAAAATGAAAAAAACTGCGTTTTCTTCAAAGTTTCAGTGAATTTGCCAAACTTAGCAATACCAAACAGCTTGTAGCAAGAATTTCAGAGGTAAGAAAAACGTATCCAGCCTGTATCTCTTAAAAAATTGAAAAAAAGTGAAAATTTTCAAAACACCCTTAAAATTGGCCTAAAATATTTTGATCAAAAAAAGTCAATTTCTTCAAAACAAAAAGGGTTTGTGTGACAAAGATATTACCAAAACTTCTAGAAATCTCTAATTTATTGTTTAAAAAGTGTTTTTTCTGTATATGTCGAGAATTGACAGAAAAAACGTAAAAAAATTTTAAAATGGCCTAAAAATTTGCCTTGAGTGAAAATGAAAAAAACTGCGTTTTCTTCAAAGTTTTAGTGAATTTGCAAACTTAGCAATACCAAACAGCTTGTAACAAGAATTTCAGAGGTAAGAAAACCGTATTCAGCTGGTATCTCTTATAAAATTGAAAAAAAGTGAAAAATTTTGCAAAACCACCCTTAAAATTGGCCTAAAATATTTTGATCAAAAAAAGTCAATTTCTTCAAAACAAAAAGGATTTGTGTGACAAAGGTATTACCAAAACGTCTAGAAATCTCTAAAATATGTTTTAAAAAGTGTTTTTTCTGTATGTCGGAATTGACGAAAAAACGTAAAAAAATTTTAAAATCCTAAAATTTGCCTTGAGTGAAAAAAAAAACTGCGTTTTCTTCAAAGTTTTAGTGAATTTGCCAAACTTACAATACCAAACAGCTTGTAGCAAGAATTTCAGAGGTAAGAAAAACGTATCAGCCTGTATCTCTTTAAAAAAAAAAATTGAAAATTTTTCAAAACCACCCTTAAAATTGGCCTAAAATATTTTTATACTCAATTTCTTCAAAAAAAAAGGATTTGTGTAAGTATTACCAAAACGGTCTAGAATTCTCTAATATATTGTAATTATATATCCGTATATGTCGAGAATTGACAGAAAAAACGTAAAAAATTTTTAAAATGGCCTAAAAATTTGCCGTGAGTTAAAATGAAAAAAACTGCGTTTTCTTCAAAGTTTTAGTGAATTTGCCAAACTTAGCAATACCAAACAGCTTGTAACAAGAATTTCAGAGGTAAGAAAACCGTATTCAGCGGGTATCTCTTATAAAATTGAAAAAAAGTGAAAATTTTTCAAAACCACCCTTAAAATTGGCCTAAAATATTTTGATCAAAAAAAGTCAATTTCTTCGAAACAAAAAGGGTTTGTGTGACAAAGATATTACCAAAACTTCTAGAAATCTCTAATATATTGTTTAAGAAGTGTTTTTTCTGTATATGTCGAGAATTGACAGAAAAAATGTAAAAAAATTTTCAAATGGCCTGAAAAGTTGCCTTGAGTGAAAATGAAAAAAAACTGCGTTTTCTTCAAAGTTTTAGTGAATTTGCCAAACCTAGCAAAACCAAACAGCTTGTAGCAAGAATTTCAGAGGTAAGAAAAACGTATTCAGCCTGCAGCTCTTTCAAAATTGAAAAAAATTGAAAAATTTTCAAAACCACCCTTAAAATTGGCCTAAAATATTTTGATCAAAAAACTCAATTTCTTCAAAACAAAAAGGGTTTGTGTGACAAAGATATTACCAAAACGTCTAGAAATCTCTAATATAATGTTTAAAAAGTGTTTTTTCTGTATATGTCGAGAATTGACAGAGAAAAACGTAAAAAAATTTTAAAATGGCCTAAAAATTTGCCTTGAGTGAAAATGAAAAAAACTGCGTTTTCTTCAAAGTTTTAAGGAATTTGCCAAACTTAGCAATACCAAACAGCTTGTAACAAGAATTTCAGAAGGAAGAAAAACGTATTCAGCCTGTATCTCTTTTAAAATTGAAAAAAAAATTCAAAATGTTTCGAAACCACCCTCAAAATTGGCCTAAAATATTTTGATCGAAAAAACTCAATTTCTCCAAAACGATTAGGATTTTTTAGGGTTAGGGTTAGGGTTAGGGTTAGGGTTAGGGTTAGGGTTAGGGTTAGGGTTAGGGTTAGGGTTAGGGTTAGGGTTAGGGTTAGGGTTAGGGTTAGGGTTAGGGTTAAGGTTAGGGTTAGGGTTAGGGTTAGGGTTAGGGTTAGGGTTAGGGTTAGGGTTAGGGTTAGGGTTAGGGTTAGGGTTAGGGTTAGGGTTAGGGTTAGGGTTAGGGTAGGGGTTAGGGTTAGGGTTAGGGTTAGGGTTAGGGTTAGGGTTAGGGTTAGGGTTAGGGTTAGGGTTAGGGTTAGGGTTAGGGTTAGGGTTAGGGTTAGGGTTAGGGTTGGGTTAGGGTTAGGGTTAGGGTTAGGGTTAGGGTTAGGGTTAGGGTTAGGGTTAGGGTTAGGGTTAGGGTTAGGGTTAGGGTTAGGGTTAGGGTTGGGTTTGGGGTTAGGGTTAGGGTTAGGGTTAGGGTTAGGGTTAGGGTTAGGGTTAGGGTGTAGGTTAGGGTTAGGGTTAGGGTTAGGGTTAGGGTTAGGGTTAGGGTTAGGGTTAGGGTTAGGGTTAGGGTTAGGGTTAGGGTTAGGGTTAGGGTTAGGGTTAGGGTTAGGGTTAGGGTTAGGTTAGGGTTAGGGTTAGGGTTAGGGTTAGGGTTAGGGTTAGGGTTAGGGTTAGGGTTAGGGTTAGGGTTAGGGTTAGGGTTAGGGTTAGGGTTAGGGTTAGGGTTAGGGTTAGGGTTGGGTTAGGGTTAGGGTTAGGGTTAGGGTTAGGGTTAGGGTTAGGGTTAGGGTTAGGGTTAGGGTTAGGGTTAGGGTTAGGGTTAGGGTTAGGGTTAGGGTTAGGGTTAGGGTTAGGGTTAGGGGTTAGGGTTAGGGTTAGGGTTAGGGTTAGGGTTAGGGTTAGGGTTAGGGTTAGGGTTAGGGTTAGGGTTAGGGTTAGGGTTAGGGTTAGGGTTAGGGTTAGGGTTAGGGTTAGGGTTAGGGGTTAGGGTTAGGGTTAGGGTTAGGGTTAGGGTTAGGGTTAGGGTTAGGGTTAGGGTTAGGGTTAGGGTTAGGGTTAGGGTTAGGGTTAGGGTTAGGGTTAGGGTTAGGGTTAGGGTAGGGTTAGGGGTAGGGTTAGGGTTAGGGTTAGGGTTAGGGTTAGGGTTAGGGTTAGGGTTAGGGTTAGGGTTAGGGTTAGGGTTAGGGTTAGGGTTAGGGTTAGGGTTAGGGTTAGGGTTAGGGTTTTTAGGGTTAGGGTTAGGGTTAGGGTTAGGGTTAGGGTTAGGGTTAGGGTTAGGGTTAGGGTTAGGGTTAGGGTTAGGGTTAGGGTTAGGGTTAGGGTTAGGGTTAGGGTTAGGGTTAGGGTTAGGGTAAAACTATTGCCAGAGTTAGGTCAAAATTTTAGAATCTTCTTTTTGGCAGCATCTCTCGTGATAAGGGACGAGGGGGGTGCCGCATTCCATAAAGGGAAGGTCTGCTTGTAGTTTGCTGCATTCGCAGCCCGGGGGGGGGGGTCCAGTCCGTTTGATTTTATGTTTAAACTTGTTATGCATAAAATTCTATCTGGTTTCATCATGAAACCAGTTGTCTTGTAACCAGTTTCCTCTATCATATTAGAAACATTTAGCCAGAATTGCGCTTTAATGTAACTAGTTTGACTAGGGCTAGCTCCCGTTGAAACCAGATTGTTTAAACCAAATAACTTTTTTATCTGGTTACATCATTGACCAGTTGTCTTCCAGCCTGTTTTGTCGATGTAACCAGATGCATGCAACCAGAATTGAGTTTTATGAAAGAGTGTCAATAATATTAAACGAGTTTCAATAAGGCTAGTTCCCGTTGAAAACAGATCGTTTAAACCAGATGGTTTTTCTATCTGGTTACATCATGTAACCAGTTGTCTTCCAGCCGGTTTTTTCGATGTAACCAGATGCATGCAACCAGAATTGATATTTATGAAAGAGTTTCAATAATATAAAACGAGTTTCAATAAGGCTAGTTCCCGTTGAAAGCAGCGCGTTTTAACCAGATGACTTTTTTATCTGGTTACATCATGTAACCAGTTGTCTTCCAGCTTGTTTTGTCAATGTAACCAGATGCATATAACCAGAATTGCGTTTTTATAAGAAAAGCTTCATTGGGGCTTGTGACCAAATTTCTAAACCGAATTTCTCTAACCTGGTTTTCCATTTATTTCACGTATTTTGATGGGCGTAGTGAGATCGCGGGGCGATAGAGTAGAAAAAAGTATTTGTAGCAAAACATCATAATTTCCTTTTATTGAATCAGCATATTTTCCTTGTAGGATCAAGCAATTGTCCCTCGTTAAAGAACGAAATGGATTCAAATTTTCATGGCAAGTTGTTTCCTTATCGTTAATTATTTACAATAGAAAGGATGTTTTCTCACAGATTGATGGTCGAAACATATACTTTTGCAACAAGACTTTTTCAACACGATTGCATTTTGTTATCAGTTTTCTTGGAACCAGTTTCCTTTTTATACATGTAACCAGAATATTTTATTTAGAACCTACCAAAATTCTGGACAGAGATCTGTTTGAAATTGATGGAAATCAATACGTGGCACTGGCGGACGTTAAAACAGATTTCCAGCACATGACTGGATCAGCCTTCAAAACCATGCTCCACCGAATGGGTATAAGGGCTAGATTAGCCAAAGGGACGATATGTGCAAAGCTGCAGTCACGTTTTGGAAAACAGAAAGGGGGACACTGGCTGATAGATTTGGGAGATTTTCAAAAACTTAACAGCAAACACAAACAGCAAATCTTCAAACAGCTCCAAAGCACCACAACGATTGAAGCAAACGATAAAATTTCAACGAATGAAATGTGCGGGGAGGCCACAAACTCCATGACTGATGTGGAATCTTTCGAAGATGTTAGAATGGAAGACTACAGCGTTAATTACCGAGATCCACACAATAGTACACATGAAGCTGTTAATAATGAGTTTCCGAAAATTGCTGAATTCTACAGCAAGGTAATCAAACCAGAACGGCCCACTGGAAAAATTGCAGAGGCAACAGTGAAAAAGATCATTGGTAAAGCAAAAGAATACTTTATTTTTGTTGCAGAGACAGAAACACGGAGTCCAAACATTGAAGATTGCCTTAACACGAAAAAAGTGGATGCTTTCGTGCAAACGCGATTGGCCAACCCTTAAGCTACGGCACGGTGGCAGGCTATGTACAATCGATTTTATATATTGCCAAATATGTGAAGAGAAATAGCGGAAACCTTATGGAAATAAAAGAGATTGTGCAGCTGAAAAGAATACAGTCTCAGCTGCAGGTAAGCATTTAATTTGAAGTCATCTACTTCAGAGTTTATATCTACGTTTCAAGTGAACTAAGAACGGCCAAAGTGACCAAGATTGCCAAATTATCGTCGTCCAATAGCGAATTTGATATAAAATATGCTTTGAAAAGATTACAGCGTTGGTTGTGCTGTCGGTTACTTCTACGCTTTACGCACTTTGTATGCATTTTCCTTCTTGATGGTGTTGTTTTCTTTTGCTGATTGCATTCACTTTTCTTTTAACAGAGAGAGTACGAAAAGGAGAGAAGGAGAAAAAATACAAATACGGACAGAAAAAAAACTATTACTGGGGACAAGCAATGGAACTATTAAAGAAAATGAAATATGAATTGGAAACATTTTGTGGCACGAGAATAGATAAGGCAAGATTGTATCATGATTTCTTAATTCTTTTAATGTTTGCCACTGTTAATCCGGCAAGAAACACTGACATGATAAGACTTAAAATAGTGCAAGAGAAGGATGAAGAGCGAGATAGAAATAACAACTATCTTATATTCAAAGAAGATGGCACAGTGGAATTGGAAATAAACATTTTTAAAACCTCTTCAACTTATGGGTGCAATCGGATCTCGGTTTCGAGCGTCGATTATTTAGAGCGCTATTTGCGAACATTTATAGATAAAGAAAGGAGGATACTCCTTAAAGATAAGAAACACGACTTTCTTTTCATGCGTAAAAGTGGAGAGCCATTTGAAAGTTCCGAATCATTTACAGTTTATCTCTCCAAGTCATTCTCACAACATTCGGATGATCAATTGCATGTAACTACAGGAACCCTTCGTAAAAGTTTAGTTAACTGGGTTCTGTCTGAGGAAAAGGACAAAACATAGAAGCAGCTATCGCAAGACTTATGTCACACAGTCAGAGAACTCAGAGACTAAGATACTATACCATGGAAACCGAAAACAAAATTAAAAAGGGTGTAAGACACTTGGCAGATAATACAGCTAACTGTTAGGGATTCGTCGAAAATTGTCCTGTTGGAACTACCCCATTAGAGATCAAATTGTTGCTCTAATTACAAATGATTCGACTTTGGCTGTTCCAAACATTTTAGTAGGTAAGGTAATCGATGTGAACTACGA